CGGAATAGGCATAAATTCTGATTTGACATATGTCTATTCCGAACTGACATATGTCAATTCAGAATGGACATAAATTCCGATCTGACATACAACACTTGTTCTACTAAGACGAGCCGACGTACATTCATCCCAGCATTTAATAAATTTCAATTCTTAGCATTGGGATTTGATTTCTTTCAAAAGTTATATAAAAAATAATAGTAAATGTAAACTATATTCCATAGCATTGCTAATGAGTATTTTTATTATTGTACTGCTGGATCTGAATACGAACTTCATTAACTTTAAAGAAAAAAAAAAGTATAAAATTCGAATTAGTAAAATAAAGATCATGCAACCAAAATTTCGAACATAAATGTTATTTTATTTTATTTAATGAATAGGTCAATGAATTCTGAGTATGATAAATGTATAAATATAATACATAAATAGATAATAAATAAAGGAATAATATAAACGACATCAAAGTAATAACGAGAAATACTAAGGGACCACAAAACACTGTCGCTTAAGCTTGATCTCATCTTTACCCTCTAAAAATATTTTTACCTTAATCATATGATAAACCTTAGTTTCACTGTGCTTTGAAAAATCGTAGAGCATTGAATTTGATGAAGGTATCAAGAATAAGGATTCTTTGACTTTGGAACCAACCTCAGTACAAGTCCCTACTGTTTTTGGGGTTAACGTGATGAACTTACTACCGTCGATTATATTTCTTACAATATAACGTTTCTGAAAGGGTGCATTAGATAACGAATAGTATTCTTTTATACCGACTATTAATCGGTTTACTTGTGCTCTTGGAGCGATCACTATGTGGCCATAGTTTGTATTTGGTGAAAAGTGATTATCCAAGTCAACTCTGTACAAATCCGTTGACCAAGATGGATTTATCACTTTTTTTGGCGAATTATGTAGATACGTTGGTACCAAAACGGAGGTATCCTCTTTTCCGTCTAGCATGGCGATTAATTCAAACTCCATCCTTCTTTGGTTAGGTGCAATTTTTATGCTTTTGAGGATTTCCGGAGGAATGTCGATGGTGAAGGGTAGGTTGTTGGTAAAAAGGTCCATTTTAGACTTCCAAAATGAGAGAACTCTACTTTTCATAAACTTGTTATGTCGGACTTTTGTGAATAAAAGTTCCTCGCAATAGTTATGTCGGACTTTAATACCAATTTTTTTTACATTTTTCTGTGTATTTGTGGGAAGTTGAAGGGTGCCCTTTATGTTGCAGTTTTTGGCACCAAGCTCACCGGACTGAAAGCCATTATTATCGTAAGAAAAACCGCAATTATTGACAGATTCTTTTGGGCCAGTAGTTGTAGTTGTAGTTGTAGTCGGTGGGTGGACGGGACGAGGAGGCGTCCTGGTAGTAGTGGCAGTTGTAGTCGGTGTATCAGGAGCAGGTCTGGCAACTGTTTCAATTGTTGTACTCCTAGGTAAGTTAGCTTTTAGCTCTGCCAAACATTTCAGGCATTTTCTTATATCAATTCGTTCATTACATCTTTCGCATACATAATAATATTTATATATTACTCTTGTCATTTTTAGAACAAGAGAAACAATTTTTTAAAAGACATGTAAACTTAGCGATCTTTAAAAGATAATAGATCATCATATAGTACAGAGAGAGTACAGAGAGAGTACAGAGAGAGTACAGAGAGAGTACAGAGAGTACGGTACATAGAGTACAGAGAGAGGGCATGTACGTATATCACGGGATTTGCTTACATTAATAAAAGGGAATTAAGGTTTATTCAAATTCTTGCATGTTTTTCGACCGTCATTCTGCATATTAATATAAAATTACGCACGCTAAAAATTAAAAAAACTCGTATATTAGGACCTTGCAGTAGAACTTTGATATAATTTTCATGCTGGATGATTATCCGAATAATAATGCACTTTCCATTATACGTCACTCACTTGCTAGCACCATAACTTCCACAGCTTTCTTCCCTATCCTATCAAGAAGATAATAATCGATTTTATTTTTATTCAACTGACAATAAGCTAAACGCTATTGTTGTTAGTTTTAGTTAGAACTCAATAATTGATATTACTACACGTAATAAGTATAAGTATTGTATGGATGAATTTGTCACTGCAGCTATTCACAATGGTACAAAAGGTGGTAATCCTTCACATATTTGCGTACCGCTAGATTTAATCTCCTTAAATTATCAAAGTCAACATAATTCAAATATTATCAAATATGCCAAATACAGAGCGCATTTATATGTATATTGTTAATTATGTGAATTACTTATAATAATTAGGTCTCTTATAATCAGTGAATTTAGAGGTTGACAGTTTGAATTTTGTGATTACGCGTAAGCAATAACAAAGGTTTAGCAAAGCATTAATTATTGATATGAATGAAGATTTTTATGTAAATTCCGATTCAAAATAGATGTTTTCCCCGCGTACGATAAAAGATGTAACAAATTTTGCAATACTGCAATACTTATTAACGCCAATGTGATAAAAATGTCCACTACGGTTAAAAAAACTGTTATTGTCTCTACCCATATATGTTCTATTGTAAATAATAAAGTTTGTCACGTATTACTCAGATTAAGATTGATGTGTATTGATAATACTAATATTATTACAATTTCCCAAGACTTTGTTTTATGCATATCGCCCACGAGAGGTGACATATATGTGTGTTTTATGGAGCAGTGAAATGTTATCTATTAATAGCAATTTGTTGGCTCAAATTTGATGCTTTGTCAATTTATTGTACTTTCACATTATTGTAAGCACTAAAATATTATTCGTACAGTCTTGGCATCTAATCTGTAAACATATTCATGACACCAATATTTACCAACACAGCTCTATATTTTTTCTAAAAAATAACAAATTTATTCTACTTTATAGTTTTCTTTGTGCAACATGCCTTCTCGGGCAAACAACATATCTCGTTGTAAAACAACTGATAAACATATGCGCGGTGTGGGTGTTACTGCATTATTTATTATTTTGATATTGTTCTCATTGAAGGCGATACCATATTTAGGTTAATTATCTTCCAAGGTACTTATTCGCTGTCTAGCACCAAATAAAACCGAACAATTACTGTAAGCACTTTATAACTAATTTCGTAGCCAGTATAGACAGGTTACAGCGGGTTATATATCTTTGGAGTGATAAACGATATAATAATAACAAAGGCATGCCGTTAAGTGGTGATTCTAGCGCTTCAGGTCAAAGACCCCAATTTCTGGGTACTTTTTTTTGCAGCTGGGCGTATCTCGACAAACACAATGACTAAATTGTATGTCCGTGACAGGGCCGAATATTCGGGTGTAACCCCAAATTTTTGTCATGTATTTTCTAAGCGGATAAACAAACGATGGTGTAACATACCATAAACATCCGCCGAATTATAAGGTTCTACTTTCGAAACTTTGATAAGGTCGTGCATGTAAACAAACAAAAAGTGATGCTGATGATAAGACAAGTTTGCAAACTATGTATTAATGACTAGGCAGTTAAATATGCTTTGATCCGAAAATAAATGTTGATACGGATAAACACACTTTTCAAGATGAGATAGCAAAACAACTACAAAAGCGTATGTTTATATCATGTAAAAATAATTCTCTAAATGTTATTGAATAAAATTTGATAGCGAAAACTATAATTGTGTACTGGTAACTTTAGTCGGGGCAATTACTAGTGACGGTAAATAATCAAAAAATTGAGCTTTTTTGAACTACATTACAAAGAATAATACAATTTTGCGTTATTTTGCGAATGCGTTTTATGCTTAATTATGTCTTGGATATATGTAAGTAATGCATCAATTAACTATATAGATTCTGGTTTATTTCACACTAATTACAAGTTGGCAAATTAAACTATACCGGATAAAAAATTTTTGCTCATATCAAATTGTGCATAATAGTCGCGCAGTGTTAGTGTGTGGAGTCTTCACGATCCTGAAGACTTGGACTAAGTAAATATAGGGAGAGTGCATTATCAATGGACCCTCCTTAGTGCATATTTAACGATTCGTATAATTGTCATCAACACAAAATTCATTCCCCAACTTGATAATCTTGTTAAACAATCAGTTGGCTTATCTTAGTGTATTTGTAATAGACTACTTGTTCAGATTTAATACTAACTACTTACGCTTAGATTCACATATAACCTTAAAAAAGCATTAGTCAATGAGATCTTTAATTGGGGATAGCCTTATTAAGACTTTCTATGAAATTCTGCGAGGCATTCATATTGGCGCGGATAATACATCTGTACAACGTAGAATGTAACCACTAATGTTACATTATATATGCAGAAACGTCAAGTGTTTTACGCTTGTACGAATCATGTTCAACTCCGATTCATTCATCGCATAAAAAAATACCGAATACTTGTTACCATCAAATATTAAACACGACAGCAATAAACCTTTTTAATAATAAGAAGACCCAGCATAAATACACGGGTAACTAGAAATACACACACGCAAATCTCAACTTTTTTTTTTCGCCTTCCCCAAAGCATTCGTTGAAAAATAATGATTGAATTAATAACCTTTATATCAAATTCTAAATATTACATCCTTGTTGCTCTCATTACCATAGCAATTCACAAAGTATATGGTTTCCTTAAATGGAGAAAAAGCGCAGACAGCATTCCTGGCCCGCCAGCTTCATTAATAACTGGCAACATTCTCGACATCGGTCGCGCGGGGGGTTTAGCGCCGTATCTAAAATATCTCCACAAAACGTATGGTCCCATCGTCAAATACTGGGCCACGCCGAACGAACTCCATGTGACGATAAACGAACCCAATATCCTCGATCAATTCGACATTCAGACTACCGAAAGACCCATAAACTTTGTTGAATTTTTAAGAGGCTTTTTCGGTGACAAGGGCCTGATTTATCTAGATGCTGAACAGGCAAAAGCGAGAAGACTCATATGGCACAAGACATTTGCAAAGCGTCCTTACGAAAAGATTATGCCGAGATTCATCGAAATCATCAACAAGCGAGGTACAGACTGGCTATCGGAAAGAAACGGAGGAAAAGCTGTCAAAGTCAATATCCAGGCCGAGGCTCGGTCGTTATGGAACAAACTGAACGAATACAACGTATTTGGTGACGCATCCACTTCCGACAATTTAAGCGAAAAATTTGAAGAAACCATCGAACTATTATTACAAATACGATTCAGGTTTGCTCCCGTATTGCCATACACCGTAATATGGAGAAAACGAAAGGAACTTCTCGACTATGTGCGTCAAGAAGTCCAACGATTGATCAACGAACAACTAGACCGTCGTGGTGAATCCCTAGCCAATGGAAACGATTTCCTGAGTCATTTACTCAATGACGAAGAACTCACCGAAGAGGCATTCTTTGATGAAGTTTTAACTCTACTGTTTGTCGTTACGGACAATTTCATGGGCATTGCTAACCTATTTCATCAGCTGGCAGAAAATAAAAATGTCCAAGAACGGGTACGAAAAGAAGTTCAAGACGTGTGGGGTGATAAACTTCCCACTACAACGGATGAATTGTCCTCTATGACTTATACCAGAGCGGTCGTCAAAGAAGTTTTACGATTTTGCGGTACCAGTAATATCACTCTCCGAGAGTTACAACACGATTATTTCATCCAAAACAAATATCATATTCCCAAAGATGCTCTTGTTGTGGTTCCGATAAGCGTTATTCATCGAAACCCCAACTACTGGACTGAGCCTGACAAATTTAATCCCGACAGATTCTTAGAGGGTTCAAAGGATAGTCAGGACAGGTCAAGAATGGCATATGTTCCATTTGGTTTCGGAGCTCGATCATGTCTTGGACAAAGATACGCTATGAACACGCTTACGCTGTTGGCAGGATTGCTCGTTAAGAGATTTGATATAGAGCCTATCACCAGGTATGATGACGTAGCCTGGAAAGAAGCTATATTCTCGACACACGCATCCGATGGCATCTGGTTGAATTTTATTCCAAGAACGGTGGAGTAAATAAATATTACTGGGGAGTAGTATTATTAATCATTGTCTTGGTAAAAAAAATAGGCAGAATATGTAATAATAATAATAATCACAAAGGGTCGTATTTTAATGTATTCAAAATAGTAGTTGAGCCTTGTCAATAAAGAAAAAAGAAATACCAATGCAATGTTAACTAAACAACACATTGTCGCCATCCTGTTATCTGATACCATGCATGCATGGATATGAATATTTGCGCAGTACAGACAGGACAGGCACATTGTTTTTGCAGTATTAGTATAGAGCAGGGCACATTGTTTGTGCAGTACAGGACAGGGTACAGTGTTACTATTTAATGGATACGAACAATTCACCGTAAAATCAAGAAGTTTCTTTAACGCTTATCACACACTTTTCGACCTCCTGTAACTATTAAACGTCACACAACAGTATGTATCGGCCCAATACTTTACAGGATATATTAATGCTTATCACATTGTCAAACATCATAGTAATAAAGCGAAAGTAAAACGTGAATTAAAAAGCAAATGTTTTCACAATATCATTATTGTCATGGTTTCTCACAATTTATATTAATAACGAGAGATCTGGTTTGCTGAAGAAATCTTTTCTTTTTTTTTTTTTTTGCTATTCGGAAAAACGTTGAAGCGATTCAGGTGTTCGATTTGTGTACACATGTGAGTTGGTGCATCGAGATAATCAAAACCCCTTCTTCAAGTATCCGTTTCCACTCAACCATGTTTTCGATTTGTTTGTTTGCTTATATTAATATACTCGGGTATGTGATGAGTCAGACATGCTGTACACGAGTGATACAATAAGTAACCATCACCTTAATTCATGTTGACAGTTCGCTTTGTTAGTCACAGGTTACGAGTTTGAGTTTAAAATACTTTAATCCTTTAAAGATGTTCGAAACATATCAAGCATTGACCATGTCCATAATTTTCGTCAATGGACCGAAAACTGTAATCTATAAATTTCGGATACACTGACATATTAATCTCAACACCCCCGATAAGCGATTGTCTTATGTGACATGTCGTTGTCTGTGATGTCTTGAAATTTCTTTTTCTTACGTCTGACACAGATTATGTAACAATATACTCACCTATTACTATTTGAGCCCTCTTTGGAAAAGGGGTGTTGACTCTGTATGGCAGCCCATAATTTTTATGTAAACATTGCATAATAATGATAAGAAGATAAAAAGGAAATGAAATTATTAATAATTATGTGGTTCGACCTGCAAGGCTTTTTCCTTAATTCTTCCTTTTTCCCTCCCCTTTTATTAATTTTCTATTATGGGAATATTGGTCCGAATATGCTCGTTACTTGGCACAGATTGCAGATCGCATAAATCTTGTGGATGGAAATAAATTCTCTGAAGAATATAGTAAAAAGCTTTCTTAGCTAATGGTTGCACAAGTTGAACGTTTCAATGAGATGCATCCTTAAACTGATACAAATACCTTGGGTCAAGCTTAAGAAATTCAGAATAAAAAAAAAAAAAGACACCATTTCACAATCCTTATAATACGATCATGGGTGGTTGTTGTTCTGTAATGCGCCGTAAGGGCAAAAGGTTTTTGAATATAAATAAATTTGAAGTCATCGAGGGACGACGTTATCAAATACTTGACGATACAAATTATGCATTACCAAACGATATCGACGAAGAAGAAAGATTGGATTTACAACATGATTATATGAAACTTGGGTTTGACGGTAGAAACTTTTCAGCACCCGTTGATGCACTCTTAAGAAGAGGTGCAAAAGTTTTGGATGTTGGGTTAGTAGTAAACAGTAAACAGTAAACACAGTGATGTAAAATGAAAAACAAATAGCATTTATGCAATTTATACACAACTCATCCTCCTTTTTTCTGCTTAGATGTGGTGCGGGTAGTTGGGTTCTTGATTTAGCCAAAGAATATCCCAATTCTTATTTTGTCGGCTTGGATATTGCGCCCGTAGTTCCTCCAGAAAAGAAACCCGATAATGTCGAGTTTATAGAATACAACGTGCTCGATGGACTTCCGTATAAATCAAATTCATTCGACTTTGTATATGCCAGAATTCTCCTGTCAGTCTTTACAAGGGAACAATGGACGGAACTTGCGGTTCCCGAATATGCGAGAGTTTGCAAGCCAGGTGGATGGGTGGAATTGATGGAATTCGATGAAGCATTAAAGGGCGAATGCGAAAATGTAGATCGATTATCTAAAGCATGTAAGTGTTGTTGCGAAAGAGAGAAAGAAAAGAGAGATTTGGAAATTGACGACAAGGAGAAGCAATTGAATTCATCAATGACTACGCTTTACTCATGTGTTAAGGGTCCGACTTTGCCGATGCAAAGGGTTTAATTGCATCACCGGGTTATGAGATATGCGACTTTCTTAAACAATCTAATTATTTTACGAATGTTAATTATGAAGAAAGACATATCCCAGTTGGGCCAATGGGCAGCAGCAAAGTTGCTGATTTGGTGAGGGGTCGAGAAAAGTGCATTCATATCATTCGTAGAGTTAGACATCGCGAAATCATACAAATGTATCGTTTTGCTAATCGATATAACGTTTTTCTTTTAGGGAGTCCGAGATTGGCGTGATGTCTATCGAGCATTAAAACTCCCGTTATCAATGACTATGCAGGTATCTGCCGAACATTACGATGCAATTGCCGAATTAGCATCACAAGAGTTGATGAAATCTGGCTGTACTTGGATAAATATGAGGGCATGGGGACAAAAGATCGATTATGGTGTCGATCAATTTTCAAGCATTTAATGCTTTTGTTATGGCCCCAGATATTTATTTTAGCTTGAAATAAGATTAAGAAATAATATTTATTAACTTTATGATGGAGTCTTACCTCCATGTTTGATTATGTGTAAAAAAAAAAAGGCGTGAATAATATCGATTTTCTTGTTTATCTTGTTTAGATAGATGGGCAACGGAAATCAGCGTGATATTAACGCATGTCTGACAGCGCAGGAATGAAAGTTTTTTTTTTTTAATTGAAAAGGGGGGGGCTTCATTGTTAATACAGAATTACGTTATCGGGTCATTTAAAAAGTAATTATATGAATGAATGAATGTTTTCCTTTCCCCTTTTCTCTTCTCTGCCAATCCTGTAAGATTCTCCCCCTGCATTATTATCGCATATACGATTTCATTTCTGTACTATATATAATAACTTATATAGGATTCATGTCTTTATCAAGGCTAGCTTTTACAAGAAAGAAAAAAGATATTGTTTCAAAAATTAATTTGTCTGTGTGTGGTGCTTATCTAATTATCGACATCTCCCCAATGCCCATGAGATATTTTTATTTTCGATAGCCAATCTGCACCCATCCCCTTGGATGATGATAGAACATCAATATTTACGTATTACTGTCCTGGATTCTTGGCCCTTGTATCAATTCAGGGGGTCTTCCGCTTTATCTCCTTCGCACCTTCCTATTGGCTCACTTAAATCAAGAAATGAAACAGGTTTTTTTGCTTAGTCTCACGTCAGCCCATGTTTCCCGATAATCGCTACACCCTATGACCCATATTACAAAACAAATATGCATCGGATAAATATCTTTACCTTGCGTCAGACTTTGTAATCAATTTTCACGCTCTTGACCATCAGCCCGTCTTTGCCCCCAACTTGTGCAAGATTTCCCACAGAATTAGCCAATATCTTTCCCTGGCAATCTGTCTCACTGTAAAAGTCAACCTTTACGTCTTGCGTTGATACCACCACACTCGATACTCGGATCGGAGTTTCAAAGTTTTCACATCGAGGCTCTGGCGTTAGTATTTCTTTATACGAGCCTGTATAGTTTTGGGATTCGTAAAGTTGCACTGCTTTCAAGACCACGTAACTGTCACTAATTGACATTATGTTTAATGATGATAAAGTTTCCAAGAGTAGTGTAAAGATTATGATGAAGAACGAGAGGCAAAAGAAAAGTCTCGCCATTTATTTATAACTTTGCACAAGACTTCTTTTACGTCCATTTATAGTTGTCAACATATGAGCAGCCACGCTCACATGATGTTTATTTAGTATGAGGGCTAAGTAATGGGAATTTCTTGAAATCGGTAAGGTGATCAAGTCATCAGATTATTGAGAGCGCCTCGTTTGTTCTCACCTTATTGTAAAGCGTTTGCCTAGACAAAAGTATGCATTTCTCGCTTCCCCAATGTAACGAGATGTGATTATAGCTCCAATTTTGTTAACCTTATATATTACATATATTAAATAAACTATTTCGGCATTTGAATACGACTCGTGCTTAGTTTTGTTTGGTGCGTATAGTATAGTTATAACTCTACCGCCGCTGATGCGACGTATTCTAACAGTCTCCAATCTTTATTTCTCCATTATTAAAAAAACTATACATAGTCAACACAATGCCCAGTGACATAACTCAGCACCAAAAGAGTTTGTCACCTGAACACTAGAAACTATGTTCCCATCTGATCCTTCGACGGAATTGCTTACGGCTGGTCAAAGATTTATTGAATCGGTCCAGATAGATTACGCCCGTAAAAAGAAGATGTATAGGAAGTTAGTTTGTATCCCAAACACATAAACATCGACTGGATGATGGCGTGAGGAGATTAGCCGCTTTCATCCCATCTAGTCACATCAGTCACACTCCTTGAAGGGACATCGCGCGCCGTTGTCTGCGTAGCATACATATCTCTAATTCGCATATGAGTTGTATATACGGTCAGATTTTCATTCAGTCGCCAATGTAGAGGCGTCAAGCGCGTCTGTCTGTCTGCCTTCTGTTGGTGCCCAGATTTGACATAGGAATGATAAACTTTTAACGTATCTATCAAGTCCGAATATGGTCTTTATTTAGCTGTCTGTCCCGTATCTTTATGTGAAAATGACTTTTTTCGCTTTTTGTTTCGTCCTCATAACAAATCACAGAAATTGATAAGGGGACCAATAACGACATATTGTTCGGTGTTGAAACGACCAGGATGTCGTAAAATAAGTTCTAAAAGCGTAATATTTGACAATTAAGTTGTAACATGCGAGTATTGAGAGTGTGAACGTACAGAATGTCAGACAATAATGATTTACAACATATACAAACAAGGTTACTAAAGGAAATTAACAATTAGAATAAAGATTCTCTTCTACGTATTAACATATAGTCCAAATAGACTCGTAATTTTTGCTCATCGATCCATGTTCACTACTCATGCACACTCTCCCGATCACCATTTGTTTGATCATTCTTCCATTTCTGCTTCATCGACACCAAACGCCGATTGATTTTCTCTCGGTTTAATTCGAAGCTCGATCTGCTTTCTCATCAAAGCAGACATATACTTTGGTTGTAGCTCATAAATTGACATTAGGCATGCCGTCGAAAAGGCGAACAAAAAAACATCACCGTCTCTGTTGATAGACGAAATTTGTTATAAAAGCCCATACTAGATTTGTCATAGCCATTCGCAACACCAAAGTCCACTGTTACTAACCTGATGTTCTTTACTTTTCCGGTCTTTACCAACACTTTCCACAACGACTCGAGTGATAATCTGAGACTGTACATTCCAATTGCAAGCTGACGCTCTTTGGGCTCCACCAATACCCACAAGCCACCAAGAAAACCGCCAAGACAGATTCTGAATTGGGAAAGAAAAAAAATTTGTTAGAGGAAATATCGGACATTCAATGTAGATATCACGTGATCAATCCTTACCTTGTCGTTGGCATGAATTTATTAGGAAATATCGATTGAAACAAGCAAATGCTTGCCCAAGCCGTTCCAATTGAATTTGATATGAATGTGGCAGTCTGAGCAGCTGAGGGCAGCGTGTTCAATATAAATTTGTAAAAGAACCGACATGGGCTAGTAATTAGAATGAAAAAGGAGTATTATATTGTTAGCTGTAAAAAGCCTATAAAAGACACGTAACCTTTATCATCCACACCACACAATCATTCGATACGGATCCGTTAACTCTTCACCCTTTAACTTTCCGTACAGTTTCTTTTTCAAAACTCACCTTTCCCAAATCTTGTTGATTTTTAGCACATACGGTAACAAAAATATAATAACAGAATACTTTAAGGCACTCGCAAACTCTTTGTTTACAAATTTCCATAAAGTAAGCCAACAACTTGGTTCATCCGGATGCATCAAGGCACACGCCATTCGATTGTGCGCCGGGTGAGCTGACTCTAATACTGGCTGAATCGTACGCAATATAGAGGGCAAGGCAGGACCGTCGCGATTGATTTTGGGAGAGAGAAAGACAGGGTAGTTCAATGTAGTCAATGTCGCAAGAGAGGAGAGGATTTCGGATTCTGATGGCCATGGGTAAGGCGAGATGTGATCCGGTGGGAGAGGTGGTAGGTAAGCGCTCGAGCGGGAGGTTATGAAACGGCTATATGCTGACTAGAATTTAGAAAAATTTTGTGGTCGAGGTGAGAACATATCCATGAGAAGAGGCGACGCATTCACATAGGAAATAGTTAATAAAATGAAAAACGTTGATTCAAAATAAATTGCATAAAAAGCACAATACAAACTATACAACAATATAAACAATACAATTACGCTTGCCTGAAACGTATCGGGATGGTACAAATACGCATATATCAACTGCGCTGAACTTAGCGGAAACAGTAGCCATGGCCCCATCCATTTCGGCAATTGCGGGATCACCTTTATGCCCTGCAATAGCTTAAACCCAAACTCCAACACCTTAACAAACAAAAACACTATTATTACGTTCCGAGTATTCTGATTTTTGACTAGTCGGAGTGTTTGGGAGGCAATGAGGGCCGACACGAATGGTGGTATCAATCGAACGGGAACGTACCGTTGGATATGGCTACGCAAAATTGACCGCGTCGAGCGCTCGTCATCACTGATGCTAGCAAACCGGTCCAAATCGTTTGTATCGAAATCTGTATCCGGTGCTTGTAAGTTTGCATTAGTTGTTTGTTCGGCTGCACGGAATAGCGTCCTATACAGGAAAATGTATGTGGACACAAATAAAGCAAATCGATTGGGCGAGAAGGCGCGGAGTGATTCAGCGAGTTTTTTGAACCTTTTTTTTTGCGAGTATGAAATGGTAGAAAATATCGTTATAATTGGGCAGGGGAAAATGATAAAGTGAGCAAGATACGAATTGAAAACAGAATGATGCATTATTCACAATCGCGCAATATGCATATAGTGATTCTGCACACGTTCACGTACTTGATAGTCCTTGCTCCAACAGCTTGTGTAATTCCGTAGGCTAACCCAATACCCGTCATTGCCGTATATCCGAATCCATACGCTTTTATGCTTCTACGAGAAGTATCTGGAAGACACGAGTCGTGCAGACATAGTGCAGCCGAGAAAGCGGATGTGTGGTTGTGGGAATTTCTCCTATTGGCATTGATATAAATAGGTATGACGAATGACGGAGAATACGCACAGACCGGAAGAGATCGATTAATAATCGTGCGATTAGGTTATAAGATCAGAAACCAACTCCTATCAATTCTTCCTCAATTTACCATTATCTTCTACTCCCCAAAACCCCAGCATCAATGCAAATCTCTCCTTTAACGTTATAGATGAACAATTCCCTCAATTACCTCAATTCGCTTCATCACCATAGTACTATTCCCTTTCTCCTTTCGCCCAACCCATTCTCTCGCAAAAACACTTATTATCAAATATTAGCATACACTCACCCCAGAACGCTCTCAAATGTCTCCAAATCCGGAAGACCTCTTGCGGAATCACGGTCATTGCCTCTGAATGGCGACGCATTTCTCGTCAAATCGTATACTCTTTTCACAGCTTTGTAGTCGTTCTTATTTAATATGAAAGAGAGTATAAACAATATCTTTAAGTTTGTGTCTCGTTGTGCCATGGTTGGCAGAAACGGAGGTGGTGAAGGGGGTAGCGAGGAAGAATGAGAGGAAGAAGAAGAATCAAGAAGAGCCGGATCAAGAGACATCTGTGGCAATTAGTGTCCAAAAAAAGATGGGATGTAGCCAATAAATAATATATATTTCTTTTTCGGATGATCTAACTTTATATCGGACTTGTCAATAGTCTCGCCACGTTCTCATGCTTTTTTTAATTTGGGTAAGAAAAAATTTCTTGGTAAACGATTAATTCACAGGATATGGTCACGGGATCATGTGAGGTCTATAAAATGTACTTTTATGGTATAAGATTCGATTTGCTAGCGAGTATTTCGAAATCCAGTGACGTAATATTACTATTGGTAATTGCGAGAAAGATATTTTACTTCGCATGACACGTCAATCGCGTGTGATTACCTTGGTACATATCAATGTACAGTATAGCAAACGTGCGAATAGGATAGATAAGTTGCTAGTTGCAGGAAGTGCAAAATTAGTTTCGTTGTAGAACACAAGAATTTACTATATATTTAATAGCTACGAATATTACATAATACAGTAGGTGTTACTAGATTGACAGTCTGATAATCAAGCTATTATAGGTTGCAAAATCACTAGTTGATAAATGGCTTTAATATTAATACCACCTACCGAAACCGTCACGACATCTTGTATGCGATCAAGTATTGGTTTAATTGGATATTCTTAACTTAATTCTCTTGTAACATACTCGCTTCAGGACATATATTCATTACTCAGGCAGTAACTACACTCACTGGACAAAAGTCTGGTAAAACATATGAAAAATCTACTTTTTCAAAAAGCGATTTAAAAATAATTGATTATACTTTTCGAGAACAATAGTGATATATTTAGTCCTGTCATCGTCCCGACGCTGTAGTTCGATAAAACGACTGTGTCTACGTTACCCGTATGAAAATCTATGAAAATTATGTGTAACGTAGACACTACCGCTTCATGGAATTGCGGCTAAATATATCACTATTGTTCTCGAAAAGTACAATCAATTATCTTTAAATCGGTATAAAAATTGTTATGGCTTACATAGTAGATACGTACGATAGAGCTTTTTGAAAAATAGATTTTTCATACGTTTTACCAGACTTTTGTCCAGTGAGTGTATGTCTAAATATCGTTTAGGATGCTGGCTTTGAGTCACTCAATTTCACCTGGCTAGATCTTGTCTGAATTTTTGTAAGAAAAGATCTTTCAGCGATAGAAGCGTCGCTAGCAATTTATGAACTATACCAAACCGATAACTTGTATAGTTAAGAAAGGATCAATTCGTCAATTGGAAACTTACAAAAATTTTCGCTTTTTGGATAAGTAGGCGATAGATTATATAGTTCTATCATTTGATCGTGTGAAATGGGTATTGTAAACTAATAAACAATGAATAGCACCTCAACAACTTAACAACAACAACTACTTTTAATGCGCCTATCAATTTACAATGGCTCCATGACTCAATTCATTTTAGCTTACCTAATCTAGAAAAACATTTCTTACGCAAAATTGATGTTTCATCAATCCTAATGTAACAATTACCTATATTCTACAGTGATTATTGCTAAAAAGACACTCGGTTATAATTATTGCATTGCTTACTATAGTCTGTTGTCACAACAAGTGTTGTATCTCAGTTGTGTCTGGGGTCTAAAACCAAGGACTGTATAACACGCGGGTACATATCAACCAGAGATGGCGATTGTTATTATTATCAACGACTAATCGAAATAAGAAAAGACTAGAACTTTGATAAACTTTTCTTAATTATATACTTTGTACATCTACTGGTACGGCAAGGCACATAGTCCTAATTCTGAAACTATTCATTGTCATCAGCGTTGGTATGAAAAATTACTGGACTTGAGCTAAAAAAACCCACAGTCGATAATCATCGCTACAGTCAATGGGTAATTGGGTTTTAAGTTTATCGATAGTTAGACTTATTTAGAAAAACTCATTTTAGACATCAAATCATTAATGGTAAATAATTAATGTAAATATAATAGAAAAGTTGTCAACGTTTTGGACTTAGATTCGGCAAAGCCGCGAAATGACTATTATTCCGAATTACTCTATTTTAGTACTTTAGAATTACACTCTATTTTATTCAAAAATTAATACAAGTTTTACGAAAATAATAATAATAATAAAATCGTTTAAATCAATTTTTAAATTAAATCTCTAACAAAGATTACTACTTATTTTTTTCAACGCAGCCTAATATTGGAACAATCTCTGAAACTATCTTTAGCAATAAACCACTTTTTTTCTTAAGCGTGCTATTGTTAGAAAATTTGTTCATGAGTTGTAGCAAACGGTCATATATGCGTGAGTGACGTAATGGATTTTTCGTTCTATTTGCGCTTTGGAAAACCGGTTGTTATATTGGAACAATCTCTGAAACTATCTTTAGCAATAAACCACTTTTTTTCTTAAGCGTGCTATTGTTAGAAAATTTGTTCATGAGTTGTAGCAAACGGTCATATATGCGTGAGTGACGTAATGGATTTTTCGTTCTATTTGCGCTTTGGAAAACCGGTTGTTATATTGGAACAATCTCTGAAACTATCTTTAGCAATAAACCACTTTTTTTCTTAAGCGTGCTATTGTTAGAAAATTTG